CTCAGAGACCTTGGTACGTTGGTCATCGTTGATAAACTACACTCCTAGTGCAAACGCATACCAACCAGAAAATGAAAGAGATATATAGCAAGAGAGAGAGAGAGAGAGAGAGAGAGAGAGAGAGAGAGAGAGCCGAGCCAGCCCAAGAATAATCAAGTGGGCTTTTATTTGGAGTGCAACCAGGGTTTCGCGATTTTCAATCAAAGTGGGCTTCTTTGACTCTTGATTGATGATCAATTGACGATGATATCATCCTCATCTTTTGAGAACAATCAGATAAGAAAGTGGGGAGTTGTAACGTATGTGACATGGGGTTTCTAGTCCTTCACACAAGTTGGTTTGGTCGGCGTTTGATTTAATAGGGACGTAGATTCTTTGCTTATAATACGATTCTAAATTATGTTACGGATGATACAAACGATTTCGGAAAAGAAGGGATTTGAACAAAGGATGTTAGAATTTTTATTTTATAACTGCTTGGTGTTTATTTTTTTTTGTATTTACGGACACATACATAAGAGAAAATTATGTGAATTTCACGTAATCAAATATCTGAAAATTTAGGAATTATATTATTGATTAGTAGTAGCTGATCACATTCATTCTCTTTAATATTTTTGCTTTCCCCAATTCATAATTTTTTCATACACGTCATTTGATTTAACACTGAAAAGATGAATAAAAAACTACAGCGATAATAGTTAGGCAGAAGTAACCAAAATTGTTCTGTTGTGATTTGATTTTAGAAAGGAGAGGAATAATTCGGATATTGTGTGAGGAGTTAAAAACAGGTAGACAGTGAGTGGAAGAAGGCAGAGACACGTGGGTGGAGTTAGGGTTTTGAAGGACCCAAGTAGAAACCGACAATGAGGGGTGTCGTCTCCAGGAAGGCAAATTCTGGGAACATCCAATGGCAGCTCTCGAACATGTCCATGTTGACATATACGTATGTTCCAGGACACAACACAAAACCCTCTCATAGGAAATCTACTTCCAATAACTCGTCCAATAATAAAATCGGGGGCAAGAATGACAAAAACTGGTCGTCCTCTCTTTCGGCTCTAAAAAATATATACCTTTTTTTTTGGGTTTTTTCCAGTAGGCCCCAACCTTTCTTTGGTTTAGAATTAGATGTATGCGTATGTGTTGCTGGACTTCACTTTCCATGGAGTGTGTGTGCGCTGTATACCGCATAATATTATATATGCCCCTCACTCTTTTATTATGGTCCTAAAGCACAAAAATATTTGGCTGGGTTTTTATACAATTTCTCAGAAAGTATCCCTGAAATTCGGAAGAGATTTTTTTTTTTTATTTGGGTTTTTTTAACAATCCTCTCATATGGAAGATTTTTTCGTTTTTGTAAAAGTTTCAATTGGTGCATATCCAAAAACACTTGCTGTAAATGTTTGGCAGCAAAAGAGAGTGCAAAAGGATTCTCAAATTATTATATAGAAACGAGGAAGAAATTGTTATATATGGTAGAAAATTATTTGCTGAAGTTTTAATTGTCACGATATGGTTACCCAATAAATCACTAAAATAAAAGGGTCAAAGAGGAGACCTAGCAATATTGGTCAATGATAGGCAGAAAACACTTGGGTTTCAACAAATTTCTCCAGTTGGTTCCACCTTCAAACAGCCTAAAGAAGTCTTACCAGGCAATACTCATATACTTGGTTGAATTAGCCACCATGTAAGCCAAGAGTTAAACGAGTAATTAATGAATTATACATGTTGCCTATATTATAATTCAACTCTTTTACTATGTTTGACCAAAAGTAAAACACTCTTTTATTTAGATATTTTTTGTGGTTGTCTCATCAAGTGCATGTTTTGATACGCAAGATATATACTCCCTACATACCGAAATTCTTCATTCTTGAATATTTCAACGCTAAGCGCTCACAATTTTTTTGGAACAAAAGAAAGTAGTACTAAAAAGGAAAAATGATTCAGGAGAAATACTCACAAATCTCTGTTAGAATATTTATAAGAATATGAGGTCGTGGATCAATTATTAATTCTTTTTCTAAGAGAGTTACAGTTTATAATTTGAACTTGAGACCATAGTGGGAAGGGGAGTTTCTCACACACATTGCCAAGGTGCCTTAGATGTTCGAACTTGAGACCACCAGTCTGCCAATCAAGACCTTTTTACACTACACTATATACCCCGTTGATAAGCGATGGTCGAATTTAAAAAGTCACAAAATATGCTACCCACCAAAAGCATTTTTATTTATTTATAACTTTTCTGTATAAATGGTATCCACTAAGTTATACACAAGTCAATTAGCATTAAAAGAAACCACACAATTCTATCCAAAAAATAACATACACTTAATTAATTATATATATAATATATGTACCAAATGATTAAAAAGTGTCGTAGAACTACCCACTAAGTTATGTTCTTCCAACTTATATACAATTACATACTATACATGATTATGTTTGTTAAACTAAATGAGCAAGGAGACATAAAATATATGATATAGATTAGAAAGATGCAAAGTCAAGAAAGTGGGGATGGAAGAAAATAAAAATAAAAAACCAGCCAAAGTGGGGGAGTGAGCCATCAGATTCAGTGTTGCTTTTTTGAAGAAAGCAAAAGAGAAAAGAAGATGTAATTGACATGTTATTCTCCATTTTATTGCTGGAGTGGGGGAGGTTGCTTTGTCTCTGAATATCTTTCGTGAAACATAATTTCCTTTGACCTTCAAATAATTATTATATTATATAATTGAGGTCAATGCATTGAAGCAGGCAGCTTATACATGGATCTGTTCCATTTCCACCTGCTTGGCACTACTACTAGCTAGCTAGTGGAGAATCGGTCTTCTCTAATTTGAACCAACCAAATTATATTTGGAGCCAAACTCAAAAATATTATTGCCAACAATAATAACATTATTATTTGGACCTTGCATTGCATCCACCCTAGAAGCCCAAACTTATCTTGACCCATTTGTCTGAGCCTAAAGGTTCAGTTTGAGCTCGATCCGTGGAGTTTTGGGACTTGTTGGGTCCAATTGGAAATCCCACTAATTAACAAATGAATATTAATTTGGCAAAGTAATAAGGCTTTTAGTGTCTGATTAATCAATAAGACGTTCGTTTGAAACCCAATAGATGGAAAAACAAAAAATAATAATAAAAAGAACCAAAGAAGAAGATTAGAAGAAAGGATGTTATGGTTGAAGTGTGTGAAACAAGTGTGCGACCAACCTCATGCTATTGGAAAAACATGCTTTAAAAATGAAGATTTTGTTGTCTAGGTAGGAGGAGGGTCCTATTTATCTTGTAACTTGGAATTTCTTTTGGTAGATTTGGGAAAATCTATGGCTTGTTCTAATTTGTTGTAATAAGATGTAATATAATACAACTATTATTTTGAAAATGAAGTTTTTAGATGTCGTGAAGATGTTTATGTTCTAAAAGTTTTTGTAAAATAATAAGATTATGGGCTAAGATGATCGTCTTAGCCTGTGAAAGATGACAGCATAAATTAAGCTCCTGTCACTAGCCGAATTTAACACATATGAGGTGGCACTACAATGGAAAATTGAGCCGAACTCTACCCTTCCCTAGTGAATGACAAATAAAAAATAGCCGAATTTTAACCTAGACTGTGAAAGAACAAAGGCACAATTTTGGCGGAATTAGGCCTAGAGATCCAAAATTACAAAGGGCTGGCCACAGTTCTTAAACAGTGCACCGGTAGCCCAAACATTTGAAGTCCAAATTATCAGTAGCCTCATAAGGGTATACAATTTGCAACCAGTACTGATTTGGCTAATGAATCTTTGGTGGGTGTTAGAGCATTGATTTACCCCTCATCTCCACAGCAATAGTTTTTACTTTCGCCTTACCCTTTTGTAAAGGAAGTAAACTAAAAATAAAGAACTTATAGATATTTTCATTTGTATATGAACTCTACCTAGCCAAATCAAGCCACTGATCGATCAACACAATATCAAACCCGAAAAGAAACACCAACTAGTGTTTAGTTTAGTGGTAGTTGTCTCTACATAACTAGAGGAGGTCTTAGATTCAACTAATTAACATGGATACATGGATGATATAGTTGTCTCCACTCGATTTGATCAAGGACTCAGATGATTATAAATCATTCTAAGTGATTGTATCTTAGATTAATGTATTTCTTCCCACTAAGCATATGCCCTCCTCACTGCCTACTGAAGCACTACTACTCTGTGAGTCTGCAGTGACAAGCATTTCTGCTCCCTTTAATTTGTACTACTTGATTTTGATCTCATTTCAATATAAAGTTGAATGGCAAAAAAAGAACTTGCTAAAGATAAGGGAAATCAACAGATGAAAACTCAACAAGAATTAATAAAACAAATGAAATCTCAGCAGCTGCAAGCACAAAGCACAATTCTTATTAGTCAATCCTGCCAATTAATGAGGGAATAAGTTCAAAGTGGAACCAAATTAAGTTGCCTTGGATCCTACAGTAGTCTACTATAGGCTTCAAACAATTGTACAGTGCCTAAGTATGGAGCTACAAGGAAAGGAGGTCCACAACTTCCCATCTGCTAGGACCAAGTAGCCCAAATTTCCCATGCATCTATCTAACAGCTATAGCTAGCTAGCTAGCTACAAGAACAATTATCCAAAGTCCTCCTCAAAAGGGTTTAAATTAAGTTAATTAAGAGAGTCTTTGTCAAGTGGGAACAATCACACCAATTATTCATTGAAAGTTGTGGCCATGCACAAAAAGCTTTTCTTGGAGTTCACCATTCATGACCAAAGCTATCTTTCTTCTCTCTATCTCTATCTCTATCTCTATCCCTTTCTCTTTCTCTTTCTCTGTGTGTGGAAAATTATGGGCACAAACAAAGCAATAAAGTTTTTACTTTTATGTTTGCAAAGGTCAAAAAGATTCAATTTCCCAAAAGGAACTTTTGTATATTAACAACAATGAATTAAAGAAGGGTTAAAGAAGAGGAGGACAAAAGCACGAGATAAAAACAAAAACCACGAGTGCCCACATCTTCCAATTTAAACAGGGAAATTAGATTTAATTACCACATTAGTGAAAAAATCAAAGCACAAGGGGGAAGAGTTTGATTGCTAGCAAATGAGATTTCTTCCTTGATTCCAAACCAGCTGCTTTTCATACATTGACTTTTCTTGCAAACAGGTTTGTGTGACATGGAAAATAATAGTGAAAAATCCACAAAGAGACAAGAAGACCACTTGTATGTAATATCAAGCAATATCTGAAGATGAATGTGTTAATCTAAATGTGTGTGTGTGTGTGTGTGTGGGCTTGAGAGAGATAGAAAGAGAGTTTACATTAATTAGAATAAGGAATGTTAATTACTATAAGTTCTTAGTGGCCAAGAAAACACTTGTTCCAAAACCTTGTTATCAAAACTAAGAAGGAAATTAAAGAATGTAGATAACAAAAAACACTAGAATAATTAAGAAGAAATTGAACTCTGGGATTAATCAGTAGCCTTGAAGAATACATGTATAGTTTGTAAAGAAGGGAGATAACGCCAATGGGTTCCCACTATAGAGGTGGTGGCATGATGGCACCCAGTTCGAACTCCAATGTAACCAAAAAAAAAAAAAAAGGGAGACAACAAAACACTAGATTACAAGAAGAAATTGAACTCTGGGATTGTACAAAGGGAATTCTTAAACTTTTAAGCTTAAGAAAGTTCTAAGAAGAACTTGATCAAATTAGTAGTTTGTAACTTGTTTGGGGCATCTAGATTACCTCCACAGTGCTCCTTGTTCTTGTCTAGCATATGCATTTTCAATACCTTTAGTTTTCAGCAATGCCTGTGTTCTAAGGCCCTTGACTCTGAGCTAGCTAGCACAGTCAGTCAAATAAAACCATAATGAAGGGACAAAAAGTCAGGAGGGGAAAAGACAATGTGAGTGACTAAAAGCTTTGAGAATCACAAAGCTTTTCACAGCAAATCCAAGATGAACAAGATTAGGGTTTCAATAGGTATATCCACTGAGAAGATACTAAAGGAAAGGCAAGTGACCAGGCTTCCTTTTGGACAACCAGACACGCACACTTTCCCAAAGTTATAGTTGTCCTTTGTGCTGCAATGTACATGTCATATGCTCATCACATTTTGAAAGAAGCAAAGTTCAAGTTGTAAAGAGATGTCCAGCTAGGACATTATCATCAAGACCAAAAGAAAGGTAGCTCTGAAGCATAGCATATAAATAAAAGCAACAAGAATATAATTAACTGATCTGCAAAATAATGAAATACAGCAATCATATATATATGTATCTTTAAACATTATTATTAATCAACACTCTGAGAAAAGGATTACTGACTGAGAGCAATAGAAAACTGTTGACAAATGAAAATAGGCATTTCAAACAATGTCAGAAAGGGTGTCAGTTCCTTGCTTGTTCTCCTAAGCAAAGGCTTATGCTATTTAAAAAAAGATCCATTTAGATAATAGCCTAAATCTAGACCCACGAAACCCTAAGAGAGAGGAGAGAGAGAGAGAGTTAGAACGTGAGAAAGAAGAGAGAATGTTTACCAAAGTTTAAAAAGAAAGCCAAAAAAGCCAGATCTGAAAAATGGCAGAAACGGACAGATCAGATACTGGAAGGCATCATGAGGTAAATCTGGATAATGATGAAGCGGAAAAAGCGCTTAGAGCCTTAGACTGACAAAAACAACATCATCATAATTTTATGATCCTGAACAACGAAACAAATAAATGAAAAAAGAGAGCAATGATGAAACTTTTTATGCAGTCTATGAAACTGAAAAAGGAGCAAAAATAGTCAAATACTCCATCATTACACCAATCTGCACAAAACTAACAACCTTAATTGATCTAAAAACAAAAACCCATGATTTTAAACTGCCAATAAATAACCGCAGAAAAAAAACAAAACAAAAACAACCCAAAATAGCAAATCATCTAAAACATAAAAATAAAACAGAAGGCAAACCTCTAAGACCGTGTGAAGAATTAAGCCCTCTGCCGTGGAAAAACAACAGGTCAATGGAAGCCATAAATTGGGGGGAATGAAGCCTGGTCCGACGACACTAATTCACCAAAAGCCATATATATGTATACCTAGATATAAATATACAGGTTGATCTATAAGAAATACAGATCAAGGAAAAGTGTCCTCGAGCCAGACAACATTCCCCTCAAAAGCTAAAGCTTCACATATCTATCTATCCTCTTCTTCAAAATCCATTATTTTGACGATCATGTGTGTCTCTATATATATGTGGACTATGTGGCTTTCTCTGATCTCTTTTATCTCTCTGTCCCCCAAGAGTCTCGCCTATCTTCAAGGGGGGTTAGAGAGAGAGAGAGAGAGAGAGAGAGAGAGAGAGAGGAGGATGAGAATGATGAATGAGAATGATGAATGATCATGAGGGGGTGTATGGTAACTATGGTATGGGG